CCCCCTTTTCAAAAGTGTAGTGCTTCTGAGTTGAAGACGAAGTTAGAGGACCAAGGCTTAGACCCTAGTTGAGTTTTGCCTGTAGAGTGGAGCTGAAGCCTCGCTAGGATCGCCTTTTTCCGCTGCTGCTACTTTCATTTTGGTGCGAGGACTAAGTGCCTCTTCTGTAAGTATTTTTGCTTTATTTACGTTTGGATCTGTTTATCACTTGTTGTTTTGTGTACCCTGTCTTGTCCTGGACATGGATTTAATACACAAAATAGCTTGGAAATTTGGGCTAAATTTCTGGGCGTGACGCCTATTCACCCCTCTCTAGGTGACATCAAGGTCCTTTCAATTGGTATCAGAGCAAGGTCTCTCATTTTGGGCTTTACTACCCCGAGAGAAGATGTCGATAAGAGGTGAAATGTTCCTAGAACCTCTTTTCCTAGATGGTTCAAATTACATATCTTGGAGTATTCATGTGCTTAATGTGTTTAGGGCCATGGGTCCTCATATAGAGCGAGTTGTAGATGTGAGTATTTCTCCTCCTAATGATAAAGAGCTATCATTTGAAGAGGAAGAGAAATGCACACATCTCAATGCTCAAGCTATTAATGTTTTGTTTAGTGCTTTGAGTGAATATGTGTTCAAAACCATCATGCCACTTGTAGATGCTCATCTCATTTGGATAACACTAAAGGAAAGATATGACAAGTCTAAATGTGATGGAGAGGATACTCTTGTGGAAGCATCATTTGGGAATTGCTCTACTTCATTACCTCATCATGACAAGTCCCAAGTGATTATCTCCTCCGACCAAGAAGATCTCACCTCATCATCCATCTCATCAACATACACTATGAGCAAGGTAATAAATTGGTGAGTAAGGTTGATGATCTTCCAACTCTCCCATTGGACTCAAATAACACCGATAATGAAATTGCTATATTTCATAGTGTTGTTGACTCATGCATATCACCTAGCACTAAATGTGTGCATGAGGATGATATGGATGGATGCTCTACTTCCTAAAGTATTTGTGAAACTAACCTTTTGAAGGAATAAGTGAATGAACATCAATGGTTAATTGAAGAATCCACATCATCAATTTGTTCATCTTCCATTGCTGAAGATCATATGTGCTTTATGGGTGATGATGATGACTTCGTGGTTGATCACTTGAACAAGAAGGACACAACAATGGTGATCAAACTCATGAGGGTTATTGAGAAGCAACAAGCATGCCTCATTAAGAAAAATGAAGAAATCAAGGGTCTAGCCGATAAACACAAGAAACTCAAGGGATCTAATTCTTCATTAATTATGAGGTATAAAAAATTGGAAAAATGAATTTGCTTGTGCCACTAATTCTATTGCTTGTGTAGCATCTTTGGAGAAGGAAAATTAAGAGCTCAAATCTCAATTTGAGGAGATCACTAAAAAGTATATGGATTTACAAGAAACACACGATGAACTTTTGTGTGTCTCATGAGAACCTTGTAGATTCTCATGCCATGGTAGAGATAGCTCATGAGGTGATAATTGCAACGGTAAAATCTTATGAGCCACATGTTCAAGTTGATTTTACTTGTGCTAACACTTGTTGCTCCAACACAAACATTTCCCCGAGCACTACATGTGACTTGGATTGTGTAGGAAAAAGAGAGAAGCACATGGATCATGGACTTGTGGGCAATGCTCAACCTTCTCAAGATACCCGTGGGAACATGGTGAAAAAGCTTGAGAGGGGATCAACAGTAGCTTGCACCAAGTTCTATCAAGAAAACAATAAGTCCAACAACAAGATTAAGGGACAAATTCAAAGTTGGATCAAAACTCCCATTACTTGCTTCATGTCTAAGAAAGTGGGACACTATGCCTTGATGTGTTTCAACAAGATTGATGACCAAGCCACACTTCCAAAGAGGAGAACAAGAAGAAGCAATAGGAAGTGCTATGGATACAATGAGAAGGGTCATGAAGTTGCATCATGCCCCCACATGAAGGATGACTCTGTGTCATCAAAGAAGAAGCTTAATAGCAAGGTAGCAAGTAAGATGCAAGATGTGGTGAAGAAGACACCATGTAAAGACAAGAATCGACTTTGCTACAATTACCGTGCAAAGGGACATATTGGTAAAAATTGTCCTCTGAGTAACATTTCTAAACTAAACTCCTCATTTGATTATGATTTGCTTAGGAAGGCAAAAAATGACATTTGTGCTACTAGGGTGACTAGTTCACCACATGCTAGCACAAAATTCATTTGGGTGCCTAAGTCTTGTGTGACTTACCTTTATGGACCCAATGTTGTTGGGGACAAAAATGTGCTATAATGAGAATATAGGTATGACTCATGCAAGAAATGGTGGATCTCACCAAGTTCGGAATTTGGAGCCAACCATTGCAAAATTCACGTAAAGAACCAATGTCATCTCGGTAACATGTATCTACAATGAATTATCTTGTATTTAACCTTGTGTAGGTTACATTGCATTCTCATAGCATTTAAGAATTAACATTTCTTGCATATGTGAAAGTCATCATTTATGCATTCTTAAGCAAGATAGGTTGTGATGTATGACTGTTTAATGCTCATTCATATCCATGTATATCACATCTCATATATGTGTTCAAGTTGGCTAAGTGCTAGTTGGTAATTTCAAAATAAACCTTTTAGCCAAAAATGAAAATTTTGAAAACTATGGCTTTCCTATAAAAATCTAATTGGAAATGATCTCAATGTGTGTTTCAAATATCTCTCAATACTTTTATATTTCAAAGAAGAGCTAATTTTTTTAAAAAAATGAATTTCAACTAAAAATGTAGCTCTAAGTATCTTGTTTTAGCTTTTAACTTCAATTTTTTTGTACAATTAATTCTAAAAGGAATTTGGAAATGGTTTCAAAACGGAAAAGATAGGGTTGGCTAATTCAAACATTTATGGTATTCAAAGTTTCTCTGAAAGGCCAACCGATCAAAATAAATTTAGATCCCAATCTTATCCAAAATATTATCTAGACCATAAATGGCCACTACTAGCACTTAGATGAGTTCTCATTGTTGGGGTTGCATAAACGCATCATACTAGCTCAAATGAGTGCATAATATTCATTCATAGTCATTTCTCACCAAAACCATCTCATTTGTGTGTGTTTGCATTTTTGAAGAAAAGTGTTTAAAATAGAAGCTTATGTAGCTTTTTGCTCAAACTTGGTATTTTCTTCTAAACCTTGACTTCATGGAGTTAAAGTGTGAAATACATCAATTGAGAGTGGTCTTAATCATGTCAGCATGAAAAATTCCATATCTATCAAGGAACAAACAAAAATCTTCCTATGTTCTCAGACAAATCCAAGAGCAAGCTACTTGACTGGCAAACAAGATATCGCATAATCAATTATAAGCAATTTGCGATGAAGAAGAACAAATCAAGAAATAGTGGAAGAAATCAATAATAAATCAAGAAATCGTGTCCTCCTGTCTTCCCTTGCCGTTGTGGCAGAGCTTCCACTGCCATGGCAAGAGGATGTGATACGCCGGTGTCCTCCGCCACACCTGCCATCACCGTGTGTTGTTACCACCACAGTAGTAGCGCGCTCGCAGAATCCCTAACCCTAGGAGAGGAGGGGAGAGGGGAAGGGGAGGAACTCACCGGGGAGAAGGTGGCCACCGGAGGAGAGACCGTGCCGTCGCCGTCGTGTCCGAGTCACGCCGCGTGCTGCGCTCCGCAGCAGCGCCTCCTCTCGTTATGTTGCCTCCTCCCCTCGAGGGTATTTTCCACACACTCCGGACTAGATGTTTTTTTTCAGGGCTGGGGCGCAGGGGAAACACCGAGATGGGTTGGGTTAAAATACCGACTGGGCTTAATCGAACACGTAATTTTCTGTAGTCGGTATCCTTTCCACGCCGAGATGATCCATGAGAGTTGGGCCGTGGTCCTGGCCATTCCCGCCCCAACCGAACAAGCCCTTATTGGTGAAACGAAAAGAGGAGATCTAGGGGACAAAAACCCCTCAAACAATTTTGTAAAATCTCTAAGGATTCGACCGAATTGGGTGGAGGAAGGCTGCGGCTTTAGGGTGGCATCGTGGTGGAGCTAGGACTCCCGTCCGAGCTTGAAGATGACCCTGACTTGTTGGGTCTGGGCCCACATGTCAGTGGGAGGAGCGAGGGAGGAGGCCCAAAAGAAAAAGAGAAGAGACGAGGGAAGGAAGCGGGCCGGCAAGAGGGAAACATGTGACCGGAAAGATGAGGAGAAGTGGGCCGGGTTCGCCCCAGAGAGAAATGATGGATTTTAATTATTTTTCATTTAAATAAATGTTAAAATGATCTTTGTATTAATAAAATTAAAAATTGAGCTCTGAAAAATCCGATAAAATTTCAGACTGTAATTTATCACAAAGAATTTAATAAAAATTAAGTCCAACCATGTTTATTTGGGAAATTTTAGTTTACACACTTTACTTGTAAATTAAGTAAATTAATGTGTACTTAGTACAAATTCTAGAAATAATTTATTAAATAATTTATAAATCTCTGAAACGAAAATCAGGGTGTGAAAATGTTGCAGACGGCTCCTCCATCCCCCTTCTCCCTTCTTCTTGCTAGTGCCTCTGCTACCGACCATCGATGAGGCATGGCATAGGGAGCTCGCCGTCCTTCCCTCATTTCTCCTTTTTTTTTTAATCTATTTTTTTTGACTGACATATGACCCCATATGTTTTGTTTTTATTTTTTTAATTTTGCTTCCAATGCCATGCTCACATAGTTTGAGAACTAACTCAAACCAGTCACATCAGCTGAAACCACCATCCAGACCGTTTTAGGATCTTGTTTGTACTAATGAGGGATACGTTAGACGCAATTCAACCTCAACCCTTAGATGAGGGACCTGGGTGAACTTTTTCATTTCGGACCACGCCAATGGTCTACCGGGACGGGCCCAACTTATTCAGTTTCACCCCAGAAATTAGATCAAAACAAGCCCACTACGCCCATCAATAAACCCTAGCAGGGTACCAGTCCAACACCCGCACGCGTACAGCACGCCGCCAGCTGCTGTCGCTTCTCGGCTTTCCTCGCGAGTCGAGGCTCGCGTCGCGTGGTCGGCCCCTCCGCCGGCCGTTCCCTACTTCCTTCGCCGCCAGTCGCCCGGAAAGAAGGCGCATCCACCCTTCTCGCTGAGACATTTCCATCGAGCCACCCGCAGGCGGCGAAGGAAGGGATTGCGCGGCGCGATGGAGGGAGGCGGAGAGGATACGGCGGCGGCCATGGCGATGGAGGTGGAGATAGAGGCAGAGGCCGTCCTATGCATGGGGACATCCTCGCCCGCGACGTCCAACTCCTCGTCTCCAAGCCCTAACAGCGGCATCTCCTCGAGACGTTTGGGCCTCAAGAACAGCATCCAGACCAACTTCGGCGACGACTACGTCTTCCAGATAGCTTCTTGGTAGGCGCCCTTCCCCCACCCTGGTTCATTTCAGACTGCAAATTCTTTACCCGTTTAAATGGATTTCACTAGCTTCAGATGATACTTGTCGACCACTTTAGCTTTGGTTTGGGATGTTAATAACTGTGGTGTGCTATTAGGTGTATGCTTTTATGTTATTACGAATTCCATGACATGCAAAAAGGACCATTCAGATTTCAAGACCACATTATTCCTGTCTTTGTTGTTGCTGTTATATTATCATGAGTAAATTTCACAAAACTACATGTTTTGTGGTCCAAGTTACAGAAAACCACACACACTTTGACACTTGGCACTTGAGTATATATATTTTGGTTGTGTAGTTTCACAAAACTACACTATCGATGTATAGATTCACCCGCGAGATGATGTGGCTGTTTCACCTAGGACGAGGATATGGCATCCTATTACCAGCCATCGCACGAAATTAATATGATGCCACGTCCTCATCCTAGATGAAACAACCACGTCATCTCACGGGTGAATCCATCCATCGATAGTGTGGTTTTGTGAAACTAAACTACCAAAATATATGTACTTAAGTGACAAGTGTCAGAATGTGTGTGGTTTTCTGCAACTTGAACCATGAAACATGTAGTTTTGTGAAATTTACTCTATTATCATTATTATTTATCCGTAATAACACTTTTCTCTTTTCATCACAAATTATTTATCCATACTCATCCTTTTCTCTTTTCATCTTTTTTATGTATGTGGTATGTACTGCTGATATTATGCATGCTTTAGGACTTATGCCCTCTGCATCTTATTTCATATATCTGGTAACAAGTCAGGAGAACTCTACGCTCGCGGTTTCCTTGTCAACAAATGCACTAAAATTATATTCTCCAGCAACTGGGCAATTTTTGGGTGAATGCACTGGACACAGCGGATCAATCCATGAAATTTCCTTTTCAGCCCCATCATCCCCACAAGTAATCTGTTCTTGTTCTTCAGATGGAACTATAAGAGCTTGGGATACAAGAAGCTTTAAGCAGGTCTGTTTTCCTAATCTGGTTATCAAATGCATAATTAAGGGAATAAGTATACTTTACTCTTGCCAGCTGATGTATTTGATTAATTTTCAACTTCTAACTATGGAATAACTGACACCCCTTAACTATCAATACCAAACAAACTCCCCCCTGGTCCAATTCCACCTGGTTTGACGCCACATCACCCTGCTCTTGTTGGTCAGGCCAGCTGCCGCCGTATTGGAGGACCCCATAATTAGCTTCGGCCTAGCATGAGAAGCAGGCCAACCTTTACTGTGGCCAGGAGTCATCAAGTGTGTCAATGACTACACAAATGGCACTGTGTGTGGGCGATGGGGATCCTCACATTCAGAAACTATGGCAGTTCATTGTTTAGGGGCAGCCAACAGCAGGGACCTGTGGTAATAGGAGGGTGATGAAGAATTTGAGGCTGGCATGTGGGAATCACCATGTTTTGCTGATTGGACTGCATTTTTAGCACCTAATCAGCTAAACCACCTTTGGATAGTCTTAGAGATATGCCTGCTATTGATAGTTGGCAGTGCTATTTGTCCTGCTTGATAGTTGGAGGGAAATGAGAGAACTGCAGTACTTGAGATGGGTACAGTAGACTGTCCACACTATTCATTATGTTAATGTGCTGACAAATCACATACTTAGTTCTGTTACTTAAAAGGAGTTAGTGATGATGTTGTGGTCTGCAACCCCCCGACACATTCTCCTAAAGGATCTTCTATTAATGGGTCAACTTAGACCTGTCTACATATTTTGGGTGCTGGTGGATGGTTGGTCAGATATGAATTATACATGTTGAGTTGAGGACAATCAAATTTGATTCTTTTAAGTTCCAGTTTTTTGGTATATCTCTTCGAGATACGGCCCAAAGCACAACCACTGTGCTAGCTTATGCACTTCTTGCTCAGTAGTATTTCCATGAAATCATCTTTTTGAGTTTATCTTTTACATGGTAAAATGTAAATGCATGGCCTTTTGTTACACATAAAGACCTTCCCGAATGCAACTTTTATATCTGGTAAATTCTAATAGTCTACTCAATCTTGTGCAATTAAGTTTGTCTCTGTTCTGCTGATAATTGGATCACAATTGATGTTGCCTTTTCATGGAACTAACATCAATATTCGGTGTATATGGTTATAAATTGTCATGATATTGTTTTTGTGCTTATGCTAAATTATACAGACAATTTTGCATCTACTACTGCTTTTCATACTCTATTTGTTGTCCATATCTTTTCAATATAACATTACTAGGACTGATTTAACATTATTAAGCAGTGCGATTGGCTTAATTGTACGACCAGTTTGTTAGCTGTTTTCATTAGTATTATAATTGGTTTAAGTAATTATATATATTTCTAAATTCAACCATCACTGGTTCAAATGTTTTGCATAGATATCTTTGCTAAGGGGTTCTCAAGAATTGTTCAGCTTCTCCTTTGGTGGATCAAGTGGTAACCTACTTGCTGCCGGTTCTAATTCCCAGGTAATTGAGTTGAGTTTTATTCTTTCACAGATATTAGGACTGTTTACATTCTCACTTAACTGAAAACACTAGAGCAAAAGTAATGAACTGCACCATCCACTGTTCGGATTATAAGCCACAAATTCTAATCCCGGAAGTCTGTTTGTTTGGCAAAAACTGGCTAAAACCATAATAAATTGATGAAACTAATTTGTTGAATGCTTCAATCTGGTGTTCAAATAGATCAAGATGAAACATCAAAGTAACTGAGAATTGAGAATGATGGCTAGATGTACAATTTCTGAATAGTGGACTATTGTTTGCTCAGCCATTCTGATGCTTGTGTGCACCGTCTCTTGCATGAAAGGCAATTGTAGCTGTAGATCGGTGTCTCCAGCCATTGCAAGGGAAGGGGAGCATCTCCAATAGCCTCTCTATTCCAGCCCCTGTAGCTATATTTACCAATTATCTCCAAAACCAGTTCCAACTATGAACTATCTCAATCTCAAAATTCATCTGATTAACATACCAGGATGGTTTACTTCCATATGTTTGTGACGTGACTTCTAGAAAAAAGAATCTTATGATGTTACACTCGTTTTGATTCTTGTTGTCTCATTCTAATTTGTTGGTTGTAGGTTCTATTGTGGGATTGGAGAAATTCTAAACAGCTAGCATGCTTAGAGGAATCTCACATGGATGATGTGACTCAAGTATGTATTGTTCTACGTCATATATTTTACTTTGCATTCTTTTTGTTACTCAGGACTGTTTGTTCCTTCTCTACATTAATGGAACAATCTGTTCAAGAAAATATGTGGGTGCAAGTAGTCCGCAAATAAAATTGGTCATACATTTTTATGTTATTGTGTATTTATGTAAAGTAGCTGACTCATTGCATTATTAGAGCCATAGTACAAAAAACCGGACAGGCCAGGGGGTTAAACCGAAAAAACCAGAACCAGAGGTCTGGATGGCTTGGTTTGCTATAAAGACCGCCCCTGCATGTGAAGTGGAACAAACCGTCTAAACCGGATGGTTTTCATGTGAACCGGTGAACCAAGGCAAACCGAGCCGGCCGGTTAATCATGCCAAGAGAGGATGAGCCTTGATGGGCCAGTCAAGGGCCTTGTGCATGCAAAGATCACAAGGCCCACGGTTCATGTACTTATTGAAAATAGCAAGAAAAAGGTAGAGAATGGGGGTTCGAACACAGGTCAGCTGGTTGAAAGCTCTACGCATCCACTGTCCAGCTAACTTTCGCAGTGACAAATGGAGAATATGCATACAATATAGCACTTCCGGTTCAACATTCGAACCATGTGAACCGGCAGTTGAACCGCTCATGTTTAGAGCATAACTATCTCAACTAAAAGACGCCTTGCAATAGATAGCTCTTGTTTAGTGTTGACTTGAATGATGCAGCCTCAGGCTAGGTACATGAATCAGTTTCACCTGTTAAAGGAATGTAATGTTTAACCTAATTGGAGGAATAGGAATCATGGACCAAGCAGGATCAATGTTAAAGCTTGTTTACTTGCTGTTCTGTTTCATAGCTGCTTCATTTGGTAGCTGCATTTGTGGAATTTGGAGGGCTCTGGTCCTGGTGAATGGAGAGTATTCACAATCTAAGAGGTATTGGACACCTGGCTGCATCAATAGTTATATCTTATGTGCAGAAAGATCATTTGTGCAATTTTGATGTCATGCTAATATGCATGCTGCTGCCTAGTCACCGACTAGTCATCTGACTAATTACCCAAACTGACCTTTTGTGAGTTGACTCGACTTGATGGCTTAATGCTGTGAGCAACTGAGCATTACACCTTGTGACTTCATCTTTTGGAGCAGACACTGAATGTGTTCATCTGTTATGGACACTAATTCATGGATGGGTTAAGGGTCTAAAGACTGGGATAGAAGTGAGATCACTCTCATCGGTACTAGGCTTGTCCTCATTGCCAGTAGACCCTGATCAAGCTACACCTACTTTATGATTCTTTATTGCTTACTTACATGGGTTACATGGGTCCCTTATATGGGAGGTTCTTTTGCTGCAGTACTGGAGGCACTTACGTGAACAGTACCATGAATAGTATCTCTACCTTAACACACCATATTTCTAATTTCTAACTGAACATTCCTAACTACTACCTCCGTCCCAAAATACAAGGAGTTGTAGACTTGGGCACGGGTATTAAAGAAAGTAGGTGGTATTAAATGGGAGAATGATTGATTAAGAAGAGGAAGTAGGTGGAAAAAAATTGAATGGTGGAAGGTTGTGTTTTGTTGAAAAGGAATTGTAGGTGAAGTTGTTCTATTTTGGGATAAATTTTGAATGCTAGAAGTTGTATTTTGGGAGAGGGAGTAATAGATATAATACCAAATAACTAAGCCATATTGACACAATAGATGTGATTGGTTGAGGCAATAGATTTATTATGGAAGGTAAATCCTAAACCTTAATTGTATTGCTACACTGCTACAGTACATGATACTGTTCGTGCACTACATCTGTTGTGGCAAGGCATCTCAACCTCAAGCTGTGGCAGTAACTACGGCTGAAGTCTTTGGTGACCCATGTCGATGAAACTGTATGCCAACGGAATCTTGTGTAGACGATCATTGGCTCTCCAATGAACAGTTGTGAAGGAACCCTTCCATAACATCACCTTTATATAAAAACACTTAGGCTGTGTTCTTCCCCCCATTTTCCAAACACATCTCTCGTTTTCCGCGCGCACGCTTTTCAAACTGCTAAACGGTGGGATTTATGCAAAAACTTTCTATATGAAAGTTATTTTAAAAAAATCATATTAATCCATTTTTCAAAAAAAAGGTTAATACTTAATTAATCATGTAATAATACAAGCTTTGTTTTGCGTGCTGGGAACCTCCTCCCGAACACAGCCTTAATCAAGTGAGAACTGAGTCATCCTGCTGGCATATTTGAAGGCATTAATGCTGGAGACTACATGTGTATACTATCAAAATATGTGAGCATGCGGATATCCAATCGAAATGGTCCTAGAAGCAAACAGTACTTTTATATAAAAATCATGATCTAATGATCTGCTGTCTCCGTACCATGCATTATCAGCATTTAGATTGATGGACTAGATATCAAATATGCACCATTATATTTTACAAAGTGATGCTTGGATGGTTTTGTATGTTTTCTACTCTTCATGGAGACAACTATTTTTATATCACAGGAGACAACTACTTTCATCACTTACTCTAAACATTTTGATAATGTGCTTACTGAATCACTTGAATGCATTTTATTGTGAAAATATCTTGTATTTGCTACTGTTCCTCTCATACTATTTCTGTATTCTGGGTGATTATAAATTTTTATGTTGTCACCTTTTTTGGACAGGTAAAATTTGCACCACATCAGCATAGCAAACTCATTTCTGCAGCAGTTGATGGATTAATATGTGTTTTTGACACTGATGGTGACATGAACGAGGACAATCATTTGCTATCTGTATGTTTTAGTTGTTTCCTGTGCCCAAATGCCTTGTCTTACATATCCTGCTATGTCAGGTTATGGTTTGATACTTTGATGTTTGTTGTTTACTGAAGTATCCCATTAGTACTTCAAGTTATGTTCCTTTGTTGTTTCATATGACGATGCCAAATGCGCATGATGTTTTTTCCCCTTTTTGTAACTTCAATAACTGGCCATGTGTGTAATATGCTGTTATTTGTTCGTGAAGTACATGATAGAGCTTACAATTTTATTCCTCACCGCTTCTTATAACAATGCTACTGTTAATCTCCATAGTTCTTTGTTAATCTTCATACAATAGAGCTTACAATTCTTGTATGTTACGGATGCAGTTCTAGTTTTGCCTATTCTTTTCTTGGTTGTTAGTACTATTCAATTGTGGTATTACAATATCTCCCTTTTGAAGTATTTTTTTTTTAATTTTAATGGTTCTGCATGAGGTTATTTGTATGAAGATGTCAATTTTGGGTGATAGTTCTCTGATATCTGATCTTCCCTAGGTTATGAATGTGGAGACTTCTGTTGCAAAAGTGGGATTTTTCGGCAACACATACCAGAAGATCTGGTGCTTGAGCCACATTGAAACATTAAGGTAGTTTATTCGGTTTGCTTTCTCTGGTTTGGCAATGCCATGTCATCTGACTTATATTTCAAAGTTCAAATAAATAAATAAGGACAAAAGTCTAATTGTGATTTTTGCTGTTGAATTCTCACAGTACCTGGGACTGGAATGATGGGAGTAGAGAACTGAATATAGATGATGCTCGTTCCTTGGCAACTGATAGGTGGAACCTTGACCATGTGAGTTTCTAATATTTGCCTTTATACATTCTAGCTACTCAGCATTTGTTGGCATGTAGTGTGGTATTTGGTAATTGACAGTTTTTTTTATATTAATATTAGAGAGTTATGATATTCAAACAATCACACCTCATTAGTTCATTGCTTTCTTCATTTGGCTCATGGTACAAAAAGATTACAGAACTTCACGAAATGAATGATATTGTAGCACCTTATATCTGTAATCGTCTTCATCAACTAACTCCAGAACTAGCCAAATTTTAGATATACTCCCTCTATTCTTTTTTACTTGTTGCTTAGGACATTGACATAATCTCCAATGCACTTGTTTAGGGTATATAGAGTGCGTGACCGTCTTTCTTTACTCCTTGCACAGTTCCACTGTGGAGACACTATAGGGAACTCTCCATTCCAGTCACCATTCTTGCTGGCTACAGAAACCTATTCTCTCCAATCATGGAGCCAATCCAATATCCTCATGCATCATTTTATGTTGCACCCTCTTGTCATTTTCTCATATGAACCCAAAATTTGCTTGATCTTTATTTTTCACAGCTTACTGAACTGACTATCTCCTCTAGATGCCTTGTCACTGTTGTTGCAAGTGTTACATTCCCGTTTACGGGACCTCACTACCATAGTGAAAAACCGGACCGGCCTAGCGTTTGAACCGGAAATAACCGAAACCAGAGGTTAGCTCGGTTCGGTTCAATAGAAAGACCGGCCATGTAATCGAACCGGTTTGAACCGCTTGAACCGGCTGGTTTTGAGGTGAAACGGACAATAAACTGCTATCGGTTGAACCGGGCTAAGACATGCGAGAGTGTAAATGGGCCACACGAAGGCCCATTTAGTTCTTCAGCCTACCAAGACGATTTTTTGTTTTTTTTGAAAAAATGCCAAATCGCTCACGGAGGAGATTCGACCTTTGGTCACCAGGTTGTAAGCCGGCTGCGCTGACCATCCCACCACGTGCCCTTATGTGCAAGTATCAAAAGTTCAAAACATATAAACTAGATGACCTTATTAAACCGCGGTTCAACCGTCCAACCCGTCGGTTCGACCGCTGGACCGGTGAACCGAGGTGTTCACCGGGTCATCCACCGGTCCGGTTTTTTCAACTATGCTCACTACGCCTCCATTGCTGTCCACCTACTTAGTCTAAACGTCAACTCAGCTTTTCCTGCTCTCTAGATTGGTTGATGTGGCGAAACAGAGGGATTGCTGCCACAATGTGAAACTACACGATGTGGCTGCCCATGATGCTTCATTGTTTAATTAGCGTGGTTGGCAATGCAATATAGCAGTCCAGGGAGGCAAATTACCTAGACAATTTATTCTCAACGTCTAATTCTGTTTACTATATTTTGTAGGTGGACTATTTTGTTGATTGTCACTACTCTCTGCCCGACGACAAGTTATGGGTGATTGGCGGCACAACTGCAGGGACAATAGGTTACTTCCCTGTAAGAGCTGGTCTTGAAGGGGCAATAGGTTCCGCGGAAGCTATCCTTGAAGGAGGCCATACAGACGTTGTTAGAACCGTATATCCAGCCGCAAACACTCATACTGGGCAAAACAGGGGCATTTTTGGATGGACAGGTGGCGAAGATGGTCGTCTGTGTTGTTGGCGCTCTGGTGAAATTGCTGAGATGAACAAGTCTTGGATCTCTAGTTCATTAGTGTCAAGGGTTCAAAAGAAAGCTAAATGCCGACAACAGCCATACTAACTGATGCGATATATGTCCGACACATATGATTAACAAAATACAGCTGTTCTCCTATATTAGGAAGGTTGACAATTGTTAATCCGTAATGTTTCCCTTGTATGTGCTATATAGATTATTTTCGTTTCAAATGAAGTAATGGTTGTGTTTACTACCTTCGTTCCAAAATATAACAACTTCTAGCTATGAATCTTGATATAGATATGTCCAGATTCATTGTTAGAAATGCTTATATTCTTTGAGAATGTCTCCGTCGTCTCTTTTTTAACCTTATTGCCCTCACAACTACCTAATAATCTCCTACAAGTGGATCGCTGTCAATTTTACATTTGATAGGGTCACTAACACTGTCATCGCCGCTATCGTGTGCTTGTTATTGTCATCTCCTACAAGTGCTATCTTGTGGTACCGTTTGTATCTAGGCTTGCGCGTATAGTATTTTCTAGCCTAGGACCAACATGGTACTGACTTTGAATGATTTTTCAACTTTACATTATCTGATTTGAGCATTTGCTATTCATTTAGCACATATTTGAGCCTACTTGAGCTATTACTTTGGGCGGGCATAGTGAGGTGGCACCGGGAGGCCACATGGATGGCCCAAATTCCCCCGAGTTGAATCGGATGACCGGTGCAAGTGGGAGTGGGGCTCGACAATTGGCTGGCTGGGTAGCGGCGGCGCGTAGCCCTATGATCACTAGTGACGACCAACTGGCACGACGGCGCACATGGGAAGCGGTGAAGGTGGGAAGGAGTGTGACGGTGTGCTTACCGAGGGAAGAAGACGATGACACGGCACATGAGGTGGCCGGCAGCGGTCAGCGGCGGTGAGAGAGGTGGCGCGGGAGTAGACGAGGAGAGGATTCTCACCGTTCGCACGCGACGGGTAGGGGAGAAGGGAAGGTGGCCGACGGCGGTGCTCCTCCGGACGGGGATGGCCGCAACCTCGGGAAGGTGAAGGAGTTAAGGGAGAGAGAGGAGTCGCGGCGCAGCGAGAAACGCTAGCTGGAGATTGAGTTTGCAGCGGAACTCACTAGGGAGTGTGAGAAAGCAGGTTTGGGCCCCGATTTGAGGTTGTGGATGGGTGGCCAAGCTACTGCTAGGCGCATTTTAGCGAAAGGTGGAAGCACTGCAGCCTAGCGTGATGCCAATTGCTGACAGTGAGCAGCCAGATGCTACAACAGTGGCGGTGGTTCGGATTGGCGGTGGAAGAGGCACTCTAGCAGTGATGATGTGAACCCGCGAGGGTTTGTGTCCCGATCTTTCTATGGGAGGCGGGGATAACTCACTTGGATGAAGAAGACGTTCACGACCCGACTACAACCATCTAATGACGCTGCGCCTTAGCAACCAATACAACGTCTGTTGTCGCGAGCTTGTGGTGCACAACAACCAGGCAACGAGGTCACTCTTCCTGCAAGCAATCGAAGAACAAGTAGAACAAACACTAAATGAATATGAAAGTTTCACTATGAAGAAATCACAATATGGTGGGGTTCCGAAGACAAACAGACAGACAATTTAGCCAACACGCGCGCTGAATGCAAGTATCAAGTTGCTAACTCTAATAAACAAAACCCCATTGTTCTTGGTAAGAGGGGGAGAACGATCACATGGGTGTTGGGGTTGTTGACGGTCGTTACCGACAAATTTCGACCATCAATATAACTAAAATAATGGAGAATTAGCTATGCTTACAATGCATGTTTATTTCCAAAATAATATATTTCCGTTTGTACTTGGAGAATAATATGTTGCAGGAATTTATCAAATAAAATAAAGATAAAAGTTAAGAGACCTCACTCCTAAGCAAGCATATGGATAAGGAGGGCCCACATATCAGAAGCAACCGCCGGAAACCGACTTTTAACTACCACAACCGCCTAAGGGACCCACTTGCCAGCGACTTGCCAAAGCTGGAGGCTTGCTGGGCCAGCCCAGGTTCGGCCGAACCTTGGCAGCTGCGGCTCCCGCTGGCCTTACACGTGGACGTCCAGGATTGCTTCTCAACGATGGTTGTAATGGCAAAATCGACATTTCGTGTTTCTACAACCGTCATACCAGCTCTATAAAAGGAGGAGTTCATTCACTCTCTCAACACACTCAAGCAAGCTAAAGTCCTCTTCATACTTTAGTATTAGTAGTATAGTACTAAGTGGAGTAGAATAGAATAGTGTTCGGAAGTCATCGGAGTCTTCGGAAGAGTTTTCGGTATGGCTCTAGCGGCTCTTGTAATCTCTTCTGTAATACTTTCCAAATTAATGGAATACTCTTCTTTATATATCTTCGGTACTTTACTTAGTTGGCAAAATTTGTTACAGGACATCCAAAAAAGTGTAATTAGCTAGGAGACACCGCAAGAACGTGTTCCGCTGTAGGGCACCACAAAAAACTGGTAATTAGCTGCTGGACACCCGCGTGATTATTTTATTATATCTGGAAGAATTGAAGAGTGAAACACATGTGTAAGTACGTTTCTACCCTTTGATTTTTTTTCTTTTTTTCTTCATTATCCTTTTCTCCCTCTCTCATTCTTTCCCGCGATGCTCACCGGCGCCGTGCGCGCCGACGACGTCGACGCCATTGCGCTGGTCGCCAACGACGGCACCGGGCGCGTGAGCTGGTCCGGCTGCCGTGCGGCGCTGCTCTACCGGTGATGCTCGGGGCGCTCGAGTACGAGGTGTTCCATCAATGCCATCGCAGCGGTACCGGAGCAGGCTCCAAACATCTCGAAACATCAAAAACCTAAGCTCGCTACTTGGCGAGCTCCAAATCCACCTGTGTAACTCAAAACGACGCACAGACAGAGCAGCTAGCAACCGGAGCAAACCAAACAATGCAGCTGCGACTGCGAGCAAGAGGGGACATGACGCGGTGTAGCCGCCGCCTCCTCTGCAGCCTCTTCCTCGCCGCTGCGGCGCTGTGCGGCGTCACGTCAGCCGCGGCGCCACGACTGGGACATCACCTACCAGTTCACGTCCCCGGACTGCGTCCGCAAGCTGGCCGTCACCATCAACGGCCACACGCCGAGCCGCACCATCAGCGTCGTCTAGAGGGACAGTATCGTCATCAACATCAAGAACTCGCTGCTGACGGAGAAAGTCGCCATCCACTGGCACAGCATCCGGCAGATCAGCAGGCCGTGGGCAGACGGCATGGAGGGCATCACCCAGCGATGCTGTTGAGGAGTGCGCTGTCAACGCCACCGCAGCCGCTGTGCCACTCAGGGTGTGCGGTTGCGGCCGTTTCGATGCCTACTTCTCGCGGAGGCTAGCGAGCTGCACGCTCGATGGCGCCGACGTGGGGTTCACCACTTCACCTACGATGGCGACACGAGAAGGACATACTCATAGTGGGGCCCACATTGGATTAATTTGAGCCAAGGGCAAACTGGTCTTTAATGATTGTTTCTCTCTCCTATCCCTCTAAAAATAATAAAATAATCCCGCCGGTGTCCAGCAGTTAATTACCAGTTTTGTTATGATGCCTTACAGCAAATACACGTTCTTACAATGTCCTCTAGCTAATTACATATTTTTCGGACGTCCTGTAGCAAATTTTGCCTACTTTGTTTAAGTACTAGTCTTATTTTATATCTGTATTGTGTTAATTGTGTGGGTAGCCTACCAGAGAGGTGTAATGGTGCGGGTTTAATGTCTAATTTATCAGTTACTCTATGTCTAGCATGCGGGTATAGAGTAGTATTTAATAATGTAAGTATGGTGCTTAGATTATTAAGCATAATTAATTAGGTATATATGCTACAGGACAGTAGAGGTGGGCCGCTGATGGTGACAGCTCAGTACGGGTATTCCTCCTTGTTAGTATATATTTCTAAGACAATTTCCTGGGGAGAGTACTCATCCGTATTTAGCCCCGGTTGGACTACCATGACAGGTTGTCTTAAGAAATTCGGCAACCCAAGGTAGTCTCTCAAAGTATCAGGAGGACACTGTTAGGGGGTATCGGCCACATAATTGTACATTAACAGATGTAAGTTAGGATTTAAGTGTATACTAGAAGTATAGGAATTGAGTGCTTTCTATTTCTTCTTCCACTTAGTAGAATTATTCGTTATGAGGATTGGATAGCTTTGCTTCGTGTCACTCTACCCTTATATTATACTTAAACCCTGTTTAGGCTCTGACAATTATAAGTAATATATGTATAAACTGCATTAGTAAAGTTCACTCTTATTATCTTTCCTTGGGATAAAAAATACGATAGCTTGGGATAAAAAATGCTACAATGGTATATCCGTGCGCTTGCGGATTATTTCTGTAACTATAAATATACCAGGACTATTTCTGGCGCCATTGCTGGAATGACTATTTTTAGTAATGTAGTTAAGAAATACCAATACGGACCGCGGCAGCCGATGCCGTACCCGCCAACGCCGAGTCGCTCCCGTCAAAGTCAAGCTCGGGCAGCCCCTTCTATGTCGCGTCCAACCCATCCTCCTCCCTCCTCCCCGCCAGCGGGGTGGGAACCACGGTACACCGCGCCGAAGCTACCGGAGCCGATGCGTTGCTCGGCCAGAAGCAGCCGGTGGCAGCGCGGAGTGCCACCATCGGGAACAGCTCCACCGTCGTGTTCGGGCCCTTGGAGAGCAGCGCGCTGAGCCGCCGCTCCACACGCGGTGTCGTGTCGTCGGCTCGGCGTGGATGCGCCCGAAGACTGGTGAGCTGCTTCTCCAATGCCAGCCCAACTCGTCTTCTTTAACCGACCGAAGGGTATTTTGGTCAGACCATGTGTGGAAAATGATGAAAACTTTATAAAATGGTGAATATGGCAAAACCAAATGTTTGGCATTCATTGGGAGTGGCATTTTAACGATACTGATGAAACCCACTCTTTACAGTGGCGTAATGTCCAATTTGTCGCGCACAAGAAGCGAGAAGCAGAGAAAGAAACGAGGGGGAGAGAGCAAGAGAAGATACCGACAAGAGGAAGGAAGGATAAGAGAGAGAAGAAAATAAAAAGAAGAAAAGAAAAAGCTGTGGGACCCACCGGTGGGGCCTACTGTGTTGTGACTCCTCGGGACCTTGACGCTGCCGAAAAGTCTATTTCATCTCCCTATTACATCCCCTGCCGAGCCCACTTGCGGCCTCTTTATCCACTACAAGTTCATACTACATCCCCTTACAACCC